GAACATTTCTGCATCGAATAACGTCGCGTTCATATCTTTAGCGCTCGTCATGTGCCAACGGTAAAAGCTTATTGCCATGCTTAAAACAGAACACTTTCCCCCAATACACCTCTGCTAGATTCATTGTTTTATCATTTCTAATTTTTTTTTTTACATTATAATTAAACGTTTTAGGTCCAATTGATTGGCATCACCTTGAGAAACATATTCAAGAGTGTAAAGACGGTACTGATGAATCAATTATTGAATTTTTACAAGCAAGAGCAAAATATCCATGTGAAGATAAATCACAATTGAGATTATTTATTAATGAAAGACGACGAAAACATTTGTCAGTTGACATTTGGGATCTTATCGAAACTTTAGCTGAAAGTGGTGAGTGAAAAAAGACGCTTATATAATTCTACTTTCTTAGCATGAGCTCTCTCGATTAACATCACAATTAATCATTTCGTCAATTTGTCGTTCATATTTATTTTTCTTATTCAGATTATTTCTCTGTACCATCTGATTTACCACAACGTTTATGTGAATTATGTTTTCAGTCTTATATATTTGATGATTTTTTCATCTATGCTTGTGATCAAGCTCATAAAACTTGTTACAATTGTTATTCAGAGCACGTGAAAAATCAAATGAAATCCAATCAGATTTTGACCTGTAAGTTTTTTATTCAACAATTTTTAAAGTCTTAATTGTGCAGTATATCTTGCAATTTCGGTGTGAGTCAGTCATAACTTACGAGGGAACCTTTCCAGGTCATTCAAATCTTTTCTAATAAAAGCTGGTTTTTTCGAGAATAATTCTAGATACTTATCACGAATCTAATGTTCATTTGTGACCTAATTGAGTTTCTGAATGGATCGTTATAAATCTTGTCTCTAGAGACCTTTCACGAGACTGAGAATCAAGAGTTTTTGATTTGATCAGGTTGAAAAGCTCATTAAGTCGCTTCTGTAGAAAAATGTTTCGCATTATCGAACAAGTTTTAATTGAGTTATAAAATGTTTACTGTCAAAAGACGTGGAAAAGTTAGATAATTTTACTGTAGTTAAGATTAATATTTTTTATAATTCACTTAAAACTTGTTCGATAATGTGAAACATTTTTCTACAGAAGCGACTTAATGCACTTTCCAACCTGGCCAAATCAAAAGCTCTTGATTCTCAGACTCGTGAAAGATCTCTAGAGACAAGACTTATAACGATCCATTCAGAAATTCAATTAGGTCACAAACGAACATTAGATTCGTGATAAGTATCTAGAATTATTCTTAAAAAAACTAGTTTGCATTAGAAAAGATTTGGATCATCTGAGAAGATTCTCTCGTTAGATATGATAGACAATTATCTCCGCGCTTTGACTTCATCAAACACCTGTATGTCTATTTTTAGGTCCACAATGTCAATTTCATCTTGAAGATACAGATATTCAAAATTTACGATTATCACAAAGAGATATTGAAATATTTTCCAATTATCAAAACCAAAAAATATGCGAATACCATACACATAAAATGTTAGTAGAAGAAGAAGAGCAACAACGCCAAGAAACTGAAAGACTCTTAACCTTATCAGATAGTGAATCGACTTCGTCGCGTAGCTATTGTTCCATGTGTAAACAAACGCGGCCTAGTGATGAAATATTTATCTATGGATGTCAACAAGTGCAAACGTGCTCAACTTGTTACGAATGTTTTATGATGCACGTTCAAAAACAAAGGCAATCGAATGTACCATTAACTTGCAAGTTTTCCTAGTCTCATATCAGCAAGATATGTTGTCTTATTTGATGCTTTTAGGTCCAAAATGTTCATCTCATTTGATGGATACAGATTTAAATCAGTTACAAGGATTAAATAACGATGAGATTGAAAAATTAAAAAACTATCAACATGGAAAATTGTTTCAACTGGACCGTAACACAATTAGAGAAAATAACAGCCCAAATTTGTGGCAAAATGCAGCTTGTGCAATGATTCCTACAACTACCAATCATCCGGTATATAACTTTACTACCGTTGATATTCAAATGTTTGTCTGTATAACACTTTTTTTTCTACTAAATATTGTTAACCTGTCTATTGGTAATATATACTTTCTCTTGTTTACTTAGATATTGCCGTCATATTGGAAGTTGAACCAGCCAAATCAATCAAAATTTCCGTTAGATCCTAAGTCGTACGAGTCTGAGTATAATTTTGTTTTAAAAAAATTTAATGAGACAATGGTCAACTCTTATACAAAAATAATTAACATTGATCGGATACAAAATCGGAGATGGTTTAAACAATATCAAGCACACGCTGAAGATTTTACGTCAAAACTAAATAAAGATACAGAAAAATGGCTATTTCATGGTTGTAGTCCGACAGCAGCTGATAACATTATTAAAGAATGTTTCAATCGAAGTCATGCCGGAGCCAATGGTGTTGCTTATGGCTGCGGTGCTTATTTTGCTTCTCAAGCTTTATATAGTCATAAATTTGCTTTGCCAGATGCAAATGGTCATCGTCGAATGTTCTTAGCTCGCGTATTAACGGGAAAAATAGCTGTAGGAGCAAATGGAATGAAAATTCCGCCAGCTGGCTTTGATTCAACTTCTGATGCATCTCAACAATCTATCATTGTTGTATATCACGACGCTCAGGCCTATGGAGAATATCTTATTACCTATATGTGAAATATTTTTATTTTATATTTTGTTTTTTGATTGTTTTATTTTGTTATTCTGGATCAACTAGTCTCAATTTGACAGCAATGTTTCATGTTCCAGTTCCTTTTTTTTGTATTATTTTTTATTTATCCAAGTTGTAATCGTATTTTTTCAACTGTTGATATTTTAATTCCTGTAAGGAGAAAAAAGATCTAAAACTTTCTATTGAAAAGTATTTATTAAAATAATTTATAATTATGCTAACTGTGTTATTATCTTACTTCCTCGAGTTTTATAAAATCTTTCAGTATCGGGTGGACAACGCTCTTATATTACTTCTTAGATAAGCTATGTCAGACGAGATATGTCTGGGTAAAATCTCCCTTTTGATTCACGAATTCTCTAAACAGTCTGAGTGCCAATAGTGTCCAAACTGCTCAGAACACGAGATATAAAATGTCTCAATACGAACTGTGAAATTGAAGTCCCAGATAGATATCAAAGTGGTTAGATTTTAGCGCTTCATCTATCTTTATTTTGTGGACTTTTAAAAACTCTTCTGCAATTAGTAGATCGTTAGGTAATGCATTCAGAATCCAAAAATGTCGCAAACAGGGAATACTACATGGAAACAACATCAAATATGGTTCATTTCTGTGACTTTTTATTACACTATCAATTGGCTTCCTTTTTTAGCTAGTCAACAGATGCAAAGACGATCTACTAACACAGTGTTATTCTATTATGCATTTTGGCCCTGGCGCTCCAACTGAAATGACATCACCAGATTTTAAAAACCTATTCTATATTAGTCATTTTCAAGCAATATGATGAAACGCTTCATTTAGTTATCCTACAAAAAACTTTTTTACTGGTACTTATTCGGCACCAGTGCCAGAAAGATTTTCAGGTTTGGCACTGGTGTTTCCGATTAGGGTTGGAAAGAAGGAAACGTTCCCACCCGAAGGAGGGAACATTCCCGAAATTTGATCGATGAAAAAAAAGCTAAATTACGTTTAAAATTGAGCACAGGAGTCGAATTCAGCATTTATTCGTTTTTAGGAACTCCCTGAGAAACCCTAAGGACTTCCGCTAAACATCCTGGGGAATGTATTAGGTGATTCCCTGGGAAATTTTCTAGGGAAAGTGAACTAGATTGTACTTTAATTAATGCAAAATTAAGAAAATACAAGTATAATAAAGAATTGACTAAATAAGTTTCAATGGGGTACTTTTTTGGCATAAATATATTGGCACGCGTGAACACCGGTGCCGGGTAGTGTGACCAATGGCATGCCATGCGCAATGGAATTCTTTTTGTAGGAAAACAGAAACATCGCAGAAAACTGAAAAGCTGTTTTTTTTTGTTGTAAGTTAGAATGAGTGATGAAAATAACTGTAAAAAATATTCCCATAAAATTCGTGGCAAAGTCACATCAAAAATGTTATTTATCGCAAAAAGACAATAAGACCTCTGCTCTGTTCGATACCAATAGATCAGTATTGTTGAGGCCGAAAATTTTGGATTCAAGTCACTACGGATGTTTCAAACTTAGGAGTTTATCCGTGAAAGATACCACCTACTACTGTTTCCATTGTTCATATTTCCTTTTTTTTTCGTGGAAAAAACGGATTGTATGTTATAAATTGGTGTTTGTTCTAGCGGTGGCACTTTTCCATTCCTTTTCATAGTAACGGTAAAGTGGTGTCTTTTATTTCAAAAGTATAATTCTCATTTATAATGTCATTTATTTCAAAGTAAAGAGTAAAAAAGATATAATCCCATATCTTTTCTTAGGAAAGAAAAGATATGCATTATATCTTTACTCTTTTTTTGTTGTAAAGAAAAAGAAAAACTTTTCTTTTGTTAATAAAAAAAGAGGTAGGAAAGAGAAAGTACCATCTCTAGTTTATTCATAGAAAAAGTCGAACAATCTAAAATCAGACAAACATGATTATTGTGCCTCAGTGCCAAAAATCATATCTGCTAGAAAAAATAAACAACTAAGTCTTGGTTTCTACTCTGAATAGAATTTTCAGTTTGATCTAGAAGCATGAGATAACTCTAATTCATACGTCTTACTTGTGCAAAATAAAATGAAAACTTATGCATCCAATTGTCATCCAATCCATCTAATACATCCAACTTATGCATCCAATTTCTCGGAATCCATATTATACCATCTTTAACTGAAAAAAATTGCCCAGATAGATATTTATTGTATTTGATATATATTATTACAGCGTTCTTATGTTATTAATCTTTTTTCTATCTAACAAAATTTATCTCATCTCTCATATTTTAGATCGATTATCATCGACTGTATAGATGCTAAGTGGTGACTTGAACGAACTTGTTCTCGAATCGATCCATTTTGGTAAAAACGGAGCTGAAGTTTTAAGTTATTAGAAAAAAATTAATGCAGTTGAAGCATGGAATAAAGTTTTCCATGTATTACATAAATAATATGATAAAAAACAACTCATCTTTTACAAAATTTAACAAAAACAAATCAGATGTAAAAATGGACATGTGAATTCTATCGTATACACAAACATTATGAAAGTTTGTCAAAAAAGACATGGATGGTAAGTACTCAGAAATTATATTAGAAAATAATTATGATAATAATCGAATTTGAACATTAAAAAGAAGTATGCATAGTTCTAATATATTCCTGCTTTAGCTTATCGATTATACACTGCTGTACCACGTCTCATTAAATATGTTAACAAATTGGTATGTTAAACTGAATAAAAAACGATGCACGATAAAACTTTGTTCTATTAGGATTTGAACGATCAATGATGACGATGATTTAATTGAATTAATTTATCAGACTAAACAACAGTATAGCTATTTTAGCCGTACAATTTGATTCAAAGAGAATGACAAATTGTTTTTCCTATAGCAAATATTAATGCATAATCATACAATATGCAACATAAATGATATTCTATTTTCCTTATCTGAGATCGTTCAATTTTCTATATTATAAACTCTAGTTGACATCTTTCTTTATCTTGTTTCAAAGGTGAAACATATTTCAATGATTGTCTCGTATCGTTAAATGTATTAGTCATAATTGGGATTCCTTTCAACTTCAACTCCCTATAACTACGTCTAAAATCGATCTGAACTGACAAAAATTAGTATTTTATAGATAATTCGACACGCTCTACAATCTGAACAGATGAGAAAAAATTTTGACGAAAAAAGTTTTTTAGCTTGGAAAACCAATCTTTGAAGGCCTAATGACACGTCTCATATTCAGAATCAGCGTCGCCGATATCTAGTATCCAGTAGTTTTCGTTTGGAAAGCGAGTGAACAGTTGGAGAACTTCCCTCGATAGGGAGGAGCGATTGTTTGATCAAAATAAGAGATCATAGCCTTGACGTGCTTTTTATTAATTAGGAATCTTGATCAGTTGGGCTATTGTCTAGTAGGTCAGTTCGTTGTTGACAACTAGATTTTTTTATATTTTAGTTCGTTGTTCTTCTTGATTATACCGCTGATCAATCAATGTAAGACGACGATCTTTTACATGACGAATCGAATTCAAAAATTAAGAAAAGAAGTAAAAGATTAAATTTGGAGTTTTGATTCTTTTAAGGCTAAATTAATTCCAACCGATAATATTACTGTATATTATTCAATTGAATCACTAACATGTTAAATAGCTCGAGTAGCATGGAAACAAAGTAACGAAATAACATTTTAAAAACATTTCGATCTTTACCAGCCAGTAGCTATATTGTTATATTAAAAAAATTACCAGTAAGTCATAGTTCACTCTTAAAATCAGTTTGCATTAAACATACCATATGTTTTTCTTCTTCAGGTGAAAGTTGGTGAAATTGAATCGTTATCACTCGACCGAGTAAATCAACATCAACAAGTGCTTCGGCATAGTATTTTTTCCCATATCAACAAAATTAAATAGTGCACAACAAGGTTATTAGAGAAATGATTTTGTTTGATTTCGAATTTTATTTTCATTAGAAATTCTAGTATGTTGTTGTTTTATCTAGTTATTGTTGAACATTTTTATTTTTTGTCTGTTAAAATTTTAAGAAAAAAAGACGAAACTCAAGAAATAACCATATGAGTGAATATAAATTTACATGTACCAGCAATAAGTATTGGTCAATCAACTGTGAGAAAGCATACTTTAATCATGATTTCTTGCACTCTAAAACACTTGCCATAATACATATTAGTACATCATTTGTACTCTTATTTATCAATGTTAAATGCTTTTACAAGCACTTTGCCATATCAAACTACTATAGCTAGAGAACAGATTAATCGTAATATCAGACCTTAACTTATTATTTAAAATTCTAGTAGGTCGTTTTTTGACAAGTTTGTATCCACAACTAGAGCAACAAGAAAAAAAAGAACGAATGCCAATGAGTACAGTTGCATGTGTACTGCTACTCTATCTTTATCGCTCGTCGTAACGAATGTTTTAAAAGTAGGTCAAATTTGTTTTGTTAACGGTCTAGACTGGCGTATATGTGGAAAGCGTTTAATAATTAAGTTTAGCAATTAGTCTATATGAATAGAGCTGTGAAAATTAGTGATTTTGTTTTCTTTTTTCTTTTCTAGTTTGTTTTCTTATTCACGTTATATATAGTGTGTATGCGTTAAAACGTGCGTTGTCTGATACTTATGTATATGTGTTTGAATATATTGCGAAGTTCACGTCATAGTATATTTCTTCGTTTCATATAGTTTACATGCTGATGTGTGTGGTCGAATGAAAGAGAAAAGGTTCTGAAAAAACTGGACTGGGACGGTCCCACCCCTGTCTAGCGTATATACTATATACAATGTGAATAAGAAACCAAACTGGAAAAGAAAAGAGAAAAAAAATGACTATTTTCCCCAGAATTAGTAATCATCATTGAAAGGTAAGCAATACAAGTGATTGTGAATGCTTCTTTAGTAAAAACAAATAGTTTATCGTTTTACACAAAGTATGCCGAATAAACATATTGTAGTTTTACTCTCGAAAAACGAATGAGTCGACTATTTAAACATATTTGTTTTTCCTGTTTATTACAAGTGATCCACCACGTTTTTCTCAATCTTATTGACAAATTCAATTATTATTAGTACAGATAACGGAAAAGATTCTTGCCCATTCCCAAATAAACTCAAATACAACTATGATTATAATTATCGATCACATCCAAATGAATGGGCAAATTTAGATAGTCAAACTGATTATCTACTATTAGCATTCTCCTGTTAAATACGACGTTCATTTAACGCTTTAAATTCTTTCTGTTTTTGTTTAGGACACCAATGTATTGTGAATCACTGTCAACAGCACACCGTCAAAGAGAATTTTAATGTACAAATAATTTTGAATTAGTTGTTTATGGTCTTTGACATTGTTCTAATAGGATATACTCCCTTTTTTGGTATTGTACAATTGTGAACGAGAAAAAATGGTGATATATGAACAATAACATTGACTTGAAACAAAACAAGTGTGTAACGTTAGTCAACATCCTCGAAATTGTCGTGATGATAAATAACTGGATATAGCGTTTATTCGACGATATTACTGCATTATGCCAAACGAAGATTTAATGCAATCTGAATGGGAAAACATGGCACGTGTTATTTTCGTACAGCAAAAGACTATTACGAGGTAACAGAGAAATTGTTTCTAGAACTAAATATACCAAATTTCAAAAAATTATTACAAGATAAAAAATTTATTATCGTCAACTATTAAGTATACATTTTTAGATATAAATCCCGCTTTATACTCAAGTTCGATGTATGTCATCATGAATGGACAAAAACTGGAAGAAATAAGAATATGCTATGATCTTCGGTTGAATTTTATTAGCTGTAAACAATAAATATTTGAAATTTTCTGAAACGTTCTGTATCTTTAAACTATTTCTTCATGCAAAGCTGTAAGTATATGAAATAAAGGTACGGAGTAATCTTTACTCTGTGAGCAAGTTTCATATATTATCAATAACTTCATTATATAGTTTCATACTTTTCAAAACGGTTTGGTTCGTACTACTTTTCCAAATTTGATTTCACTAAGTTCTATTCGGAATTAGAAAAGGAAGCGCATTCAAGTCAGAAATGTTCTCTAACTGATCTCTTGGGAGAAACATATCTGTGAACTTTACTCGTGAATATTAGCAATAGGATCCGTTTGATCTTTGAACATTAGGTGTGTTTAATTAAGTTTTGTATCGAAGTAACTTATGGAATATTTTTTCCTTACTTTTTTGTTTTACTTAGACTAAAACTCACACTGAAATGTAAATGCCTATGCAAAAGTTTAAGTTATTAATTCCTACACATTCAGCGTGTAGACAACAATTTCGTTAGCTCAATTTGCGTTTCAAAACTTTCTTCCGTGAAGCTGGCGCGAATAAAAGTAGAGTAGAAAATACGGTGATCAAAACGCGCTTACTGTTGCTATAGGTTTATTTATTTTTATTTTCAAGCGCAACTGAAGAAAAGCACACACAATTCATTAATAGTTTTTTTTCTGATCTTATCGCGTTTTTAATAGTATCAACAGTCAATCTACGTAATTCATCTATTTTCGCTGAACAGATGGTTTATAATAAAAAAAATATTGTTTGTGGTGATTGCGGTGGTATTCCTGCTGCAAAAGTGCGAGAATTATTAACAACACTCGAAAAATCTCAAGCATTTAAAGCATCATTATCAAAAAATGCAAACGCAACAATGCCCCTGCCGTTATCGCCATTTGATATTCCATCAGCAACTACCATAACTGTCACAGCACCACCACAACAACTTATACATAAAGCCATCTCATTTCGTGCACATGATCGTTCAAAAAATGAGACACGTAAACGTTCGTTATTGTTAATAAAATCAAACAGACAAGGTAAGAAATCATTGACAACAAGAACGAATGATAAACGATCAAAATTGAAAGAATTAAGTGGAAAAGTGGGAAACAAAACGATTTTTAGTGTTAATAAACGACGAAAAATATTATTAAAGAATAAAAATAAGAAAAGAGTGGATAAAACATTGAATAATGTTGTTAATAAGAAAAAAAGCAATCGTCGCCAGCAAACAAGTTTGATGAAAAAAAAAGAAAAAAAATCATAAGAAATTAATCAGTTGTTTTTCATGTGACTAGGCGATGTGATGAAAAACTTGTGTGTGTATGTTTTCGTATCAAGAACAAATAACAACCTAGACTATACATCTTCTTTTGTCGGATGAAGAAACAATCAATCGTGATAACTGTCTGTTTATGCTTATAAAAATGTTTTTGTCGTCGATTTTGCTAAAACATTTTCGTTCAAATATCTCCTAGCTCTAACTCAATAACAAATATGTATTTTTTCCAACATTTTTGCCCTTCGTTTAAACATCCAATTTGTAATTCATGAGCTTTAACGTGCCGTGATGTTTTAAGTATGAATTTTATTCAACTAAATTATTCTTTTTGTCAAAAAAAGAACTATTTTCTTCTAAGAAAAAATATATTGCATAATGGAACTGCCATGAAGTTTTCTTTCATCGTGCAGTTAAGAAAAGGATGCTGGTTGAACGCCAATTCCTCGAAATTCCCAATGCCATGGTTCACTTTGAACGGTACGTGTGAAACCATATTTATGTCCATTGTTATACAACCATTGATATACTGCTGATCCATCACAACTGGGCTTACTGCCTGTTTGTTTTCCGCAATCAGTGTTTAAATCTAATGCAATACCTTTACCGTGATTGCTTGACCCCGGTTTTGCAGCTAAATTACCATTATTGCATAGTTTTGTTTGATAACAATTCCAGAAATAGTTTTGACGTGCAATGGTACGAAAACCACCTAGAATGATAAAATATTTTGTCTGTTACGATTAGTGAGCACACAGGGGATAATAATGAACGTACTTGCAATTGTTATTTTAACACCGGCTGCTGCTGCAGCGGATACCATTTTATCAAAAGCACATGCTGTACTAGTTGTCATTGTATTATCACTTTGATCAGCTGCCAGTGAATAAGATGCTTGATTCGATAAATGTTCTTTTTTTATTTTAACGACTTGATAAGTGACATCATTATTGCCTGAAAAACACATAAAACTATCACAGTAATATATGCTGAACTATTTTACTATTTTACCTTTAATTGAACTAACAGTTGAATCAACGTACGATCCACAAAGACCATTACCACTAGATGAACCTTCAATACAACATTGAATATTCGATGCACCAGGACAATAACCAGCATGAGTTGTACCACCACAAGTCTTTGTATCTTTGCACACACCAGATTGTCCGCTAACAGTGCAAGATGTTCGCGGAGAAATAGCTCAAATTAAAAACAAAAAGACAATCTCCAAAAACTCTCATAGTGCGCAAAGTACAACAGCCTAGAGTAATTATAGCGAAATCAGATGTTTTCGGTACTCCAATCAGGTGATCACTTAAAGTATAAGATCGTTATCAGGATGATGATCGCTAATACTAATCAGCTAAAAAACAGTAGTTCGTTAAAGGAGTTCCTATAAATCAATTATTCAATCAGTGATACAATCACCGATGAAATTTTTTACACTGATTTTCATCGGCTCTGATAAGTTTTTAACGGGATATAGTACAGAATTGATGCATGCCTAATCAACGTGAGAAGAATGAATAAAAATTTAATTACCACGTTTAACAATTTTTCCGAGTGTGTTTCCAGTTACAAATCCAGTAGTTGTCATTTCTTCAATTGTGAATAGTCCGGTTGTGGGTTCTTCTATGATGAAGGGCGTTGTTGGTACTGTGACAGCTATCGGTGTCGTTGAGTCAACAGGATCCATACATGACCAACCTGTTGGACAATCGGTTCTACATTGTGAATACCAAATACTTCTAGCAACACATTGAAAACCAAATGGACATAATGATAATCCATCAAAACCTTGGCCGCCGCATTGATCCCATGCTTTAGCAGTATCATTATCATCATCCTCTCTCTCTATGTACGTTTCACATTCCCATGTTTTTGGACATGATGTTTGACATGATGAATACCAATACGATTTACGATAACACTGAAGTCCAAAATCACAAGCCGTTGGACCAGAATAACCCTCACCTCCACATTGTTGGTAGATAGCCACACTAGCTAGAAGAGAAATAGCTCAAATTAAAAACAAAAAGACAATCTCCAAAAACTCTCATAGTGCGCAAAGTACAACAGCCTAGAGTAATTATAGCGAAATCAGATGTTTTCGGTACTCCAATCAGGTGATCACTTAAAGTATAAGATCGTTATCAGGATGATGATCGCTAATACTAATCAGCTAAAAAACAGTAGTTCGTTAAAGGAGTTCCTATAAATCAATTATTCAATCAGTGATACAATCACCGATGAAATTTTTTACACTGATTTTCATCGGCTCTGATAAGTTTTTAACGGGATATAGTACAGAATTGATGCATGCCTAATCAACGTGAGAAGAATGAATAAAAATTTAATTACCACGTTTAACAATTTTTCCGAGTGTGTTTCCAGTTACAAATCCAGTAGTTGTCATTTCTTCAATTGTGAATAGTCCGGTTGTGGGTTCTTCTATGATGAAGGGCGTTGTTGGTACTGTGACAGCTATCGGTGTCGTTGAGTCAACAGGATCCATACATGACCAACCTGTTGGACAATCGGTTCTACATTGTGAATACCAAATACTTCTAGCAACACATTGAAAACCAAATGGACATAATGATAATCCATCAAAACCTTGGCCGCCGCATTGATCCCATGCTTTAGCAGTATCATTATCATCATCCTCTCTCTCTATGTACGTTTCACATTCCCATGTTTTTGGACATGATGTTTGACATGATGAATACCAATACGATTTACGATAACACTGAAGTCCAAAATCACAAGCCGTTGGACCAGAATAACCCTCACCTCCACATTGTTGGTAGATAGCCACACTAGCTATTTGACCAATAAGAGCACTGAAAACAACAATCAACGGAATACCCATTTTTTGTTTCTCTTGCTAATTGTCAGACAGTATACTGATAACATAAGACTATACGTATTTAAATAGTTTAAAAAACTGCTTTTCTTGAAACAAAAACAAACCCGTCATTAATACTTTAATTCCTTTGTAATAAATCTGGAACGCATTACCTATTATTGAATAGCCTAAAATCATATCACAAAAGGCTTTGTTTTTAATATCTGTTCTATCACCGAAAAACAGATTTTCCAGAAAGAGAAAAAACCAAGAATCCCAATCTAAAATTAAAACTGAACTTGAAGAATCAAAATATACTAGGAAATAACAAAGAATGTCTTCAATTTCCTTGAAATCAATACATGAGAATGTCATAGTGTTGTGGATGTCCATCAAAGTACTGATTCACAAATAGCAACCATTTATTATTAAAGCGTTAAGCAGTTGATTTGCTTCGATTGTTTTACTCATTAAATTCAATGACATAAAATCAGCGGTGATACTTGGGAACAGATCGACATAACGATTTGTTTGTATATAGAATGTGTTATCTGAGTGAATTATCGATGTGATAAATTCATTCTGGTAGAACTGATTAAATGAATTATCAGCAGTTTGTTTTACTGTTTGACAAACAGTGTCGGATGACTTAAATATAGATGGTGCGATGTGAACAAAGTTTATCATTCCGTAATTTTCATAGAAACCATTACTATTCCCATAACCATTTTGCAAATGGTTATACCAATAAGTAAGAGAGTCAGGATAGCTGACTTGAAGACGTTCATACATAGTGAAGTGGGAGGATTGTACAGTGACAGTAACTGTTCGAGCCAACAAGGAATTGTAAACAGCAAGAACAACTACGGATATTGCTGTTAGGAATAGGAAAACATGCGTGCTAATTGTTTCATAACGACTACTCTCAATATCACTTGATTTATGAGGGCTTTCAAATAGCTGTTTTTCGTGAGGATGAGATTTCCTTTGGATTCAAAAGCGATCTAATATGCTCAACAAAGGATGCGATTATTCTGGCATATTTTTTGGGTGTTTGCGTCACTTTTTTTGGGTGTTAGTGGGTGTTCGTAACGGAAAAGCCCTAAAAAATCCTCTTTGAAATAAATTTTTTTAGTGTTTGTTTATTCACAAAGAACAGGTCTATCGATCGGCTATCTCGGATTTTAATTTGGGGGTGTTAGTGGATGTTAGTGGGTGTTAGCGTATTTTAGTAATACCCAAATAAAGGAGGGGGATAAGGCTGGAAATTGGCCCACTATATGTTTTGTCTAAAAATGATTCTGTGAGTAGTAGAAAAGTATTATCAGTTGTTTTTAATTCATTTCGCGTACGTTTGATAACTAAAAGCCGAGTAATTCTTCATCAATAGGGTGCCAATAGTCCACCCCTCAAAGAGCAGCTATAGGTAAAAGGTGTTTTTCTCATGTTTCTTTTGCGTAGATGACAAAGTAAACATATCACCGGATAGCCCCGAAAATTCTCTACAGAATGTGTGGTACATAACAGTTAACCATAGTGCTTCAATAGCAGGAAGGCGCTTAGAATAATCCTACGTATCCAACATAGGAGACAGTCCTCGCTGTTATAGCCCTTTTTCCTCGCAAACAAGAAAATATACATTTTTCTATTATATATCATTTTGAAGCTCATGAAATTTGCTACAAACTGAGCTGGTCAGAATATCTAGACAGGCGGGGCCAGTCATTAACGATATGCAAAAGAAGCGTTTGGGTGTTATATATGTAGAACAGTGTGTCATAATCATAAGAACTCCTTTGTTTTTGAATCTTCAGTCAAGGCTGGAACCAATCGGAATACTGTTTTCAATAGCCCGACGATTTTTCTATCAGATTAGGTGCATATCGCCATTTTATGAGAAAACTTGATAATAAGATTTCTGGAAAACCAAGTCTTTGGGTTTTGGTCAGAAAATTTTGTGAACCATATTGCCTGATAGAGCCGAGAATTCTGAGGAAAGTAAGATATTTCCCGACACTCTAATATGGATAGAAGAAGAAGGTCAACGGTGATTATTATTTGTTTTTTACCTCCATCAATAATAACCGTACTTTTTGTAATCCAGTCGTAACCGAGTAACATTTGTGTTACCATCCCTAATTCGAACAGAGATACTAAAAAGCCCTATGCGAACGAACGGAGATCAGATTCGTGATCAGCATCAAAAATTACCCATAATCAAGTGTGTTTCAAGGAAAAATCGATGTAACACTCGACTCTTCAGATTAGGACGGGAATGCACACGTTCTTTTTTCCATTTAGACGCATGCTGTTGCTTAGAATAGTTAATACTGCTGATCAGACGGAGAATGTCGATGTAGAAGTTAATGTGATTAGTGCCAGAAGATATCATAAGCATTGTTTAGTTCGTTATTACTACTTATGAAAACAACATAAACTGCGATAAACAAAAGAAGGCTTTAGTGCTAAAACATATAAAACCAATTAAAAAATAAACAAACGTTTTTAATAAACAGGATGAGGCCCACAGGTAAATAATTCACTAACATATTGATGCAGTAGAAACGGTAACATCTTAGGTTTTATTTCTCTAGCTACCATCAAAAATCATAAAAAAATGTACTTTCTTTTTCTCGCACAGTTTGCCCGCACACAATACACAAAATAGTCGTTTAAGAAAGATGCAACAATGACACAGTTGTTTAAGAGACAGTTCATGAGAAAAACCGCGTTTTCTTATATACTTTCCACCTCTTCGATTTCAAAATTCGTTTTTGCTCACAGATTCTGAAAGAGCGTGTACGAGTTCCTCAGAAAACTATTAAAAATTCTTTTCGAAAGCCCTTAAGCGCCGGACGTCTGAACTTTGGGGCCCATTAAAAGTGATCATTTTTCGTACTTTTCAGTATTATCGCCGTAATTTTTGTCATGAAAAGGGCTACAGAGCCGGCTGATAGTTTGTTTGATAGAGGATCAAATAGAGGTTTAGTGCTGAAAGGTGAGGGTCATTCCGAGTTAACCTCGCTTTTCTAGGGTCAGAACTTCGAAAAAGTGCCAACGCCGAAAAACTAGTATTTCCGGTTAAGTAATACCCTAGTCTTGCGTCTGCGTCGAGATTTTTTACTAAAATTTCTTTGATTGACGATGTGTTGAAAATGTGATATCATTCGACCAAAAAAAGTTAAGGAAAAATTTCTAGTGAATCAACAACGTATGCTATCTCTAAGACGAAAAATGACTTATCTTCGAAATAATGCATTTTCTCCCTCCATATATTTTATTTCGTGAGAAAAACAATATATTCGTGTTCAGTAAATGAAACTGAGTACTTTTAGAAGTTTATCGAGCCTTTCTACTCCTAGGACCCACATACCATCATCATTCTTCAGAACCGTGTGAAAACGGTTTTTACCTTAGACATGAATTAAAAAGTGTGTAAATCACTCTACTTTATATATCATTCGATAGAAAATTTTACGGGCTACAAAATTGTATATAATGTTTTGGGAAGAATATGTGAGTAGATATTCTAACATTAGAAATACTGTTAAAGTCTTGCACAGATCCATAGGTCAACATCGTTTAGGCGCAGAAATTCTTCGGAGACACCTAGATTCGGTGATCTTTAGGTACAGAACCTTCAAAATAGATAGAAACATAGATTATCGATCACGCTGAATCTCGTGACAATATTAGTTTTCGAAATAAGAGTCTGAAACCTAGTGAAAACCTATATTAGATGAAGTAACCCATTATTGCCTAATTTCGCGTAAAATTAAAAAATTTTTTAGTTTTCTAGAACTTCTAAAGTAAGAGCCTACTTTTAATTGATCTTAAGTAAAGGATCAGATTCAGCAGATCAAATAGAGTATACTATAATATTCTGACGTGGTTTCCATTGGTTTTGACTGAGTTATGAATTTTTTAATTTTACGCGAAATTAGGCAATAATGGGTTACTTCATTAATATAGGTTTTCACTAGGTTTCAGACTCTTATTTCGAAAACTAATAGTTGGTTTACACACTTTTTAATTCATGTCTAAGGTAAAAACTGTTTTCACACAGTTCTAGGAATTTCTGAAGAACTCGTATACGCTCTTTCAGAATCTATGAGCAAAAACTAATTTTGAAATCGAAGAGATAGGTGGTATATTTAATATATTCATGGAGGCCCTCTTAATAGACGCTTTTTCGTGGTAGACACCTGTTATGAGATGTTTTTTCGTGGTAGACACCTGTTATGAGATGTTTTTTCTTAGAGTGTAGTGTTTGATATTATTTTTGAGTCTGATCTCCAGTACTTCGAATATCCATACCAATACAAAATTTTCAGACAATCAAAAAAACTAATTTAGGACTAGTTTAAATGAAATTAACTTTGTTTTATAAAAAGTATTTATTGAAATAAATGAATAGTTGAATCAAACGATCGCTTTTGTCTTTTTCTATTTAATTTATTAATCAGCTAACACAAGTGTAGAAAAAGAAGATTTATTTTTTTACCACACTATCAAAAATATTTTGACGACTGTCAAAAAATTTATTTTGATAATCATATAATAGATGGAAACAGCATCTACATGCTGTTTGAGACCGATTAAATAAAGAATTAGTAAATAATAGAAATGATTCGATTATATGTGAGAGTGTATAGATACTGATTGAAATATAAAATTAGATCAATGTCTGAGAATTGTTCATCAAGTAAATCATTCCTAGATAAAAAAAATATAATCATCATTTTGACAAAATAATATTTGTTTGCATTTCTGGATGCTGTCATGAGACTATCGGCGATATATTAAACAAAGAGTACGCAATAGCGTTGTACGATTTTTTCTTCTGAATCAAAAATAAATTTTGTACACATCTTAAAATTGTCTTATATCAGGTCTTGATTGAGATTGAAATAATATTTGTCATTCTTTTGTTTCACTCTATAAAATAATATTGAAAATATAAATGAATTCTATATCGTCATTTTTCTCTTGGAAAAATATAACATTTTTTTCATAATAAAAGAAAAATAAAATAAAGTTCTTAGTCGTTAATAAATCTTATTAAAAATCATGATAGTTCTCGGTTAGATCATAACATAATCTCAACTCAACTCAATCTGAAAATAAATTTTACGCAAAATAACTTATATCTTGATAAGATCTTAATATCTTGTTAAATCTTCGGTCGTAGTAGAATTTCACTAAAAACTTAACAAAATTCGTGTAAGTTTTTGACTAGGAATCTGGACGTCATTCTGCCATGTTTTGGATGGATAAAAATCAAATATATTTCAGAAGACAGATTCTAATCTTATTTACCCTACAGTTCACTGTCATGACGAATTTGCATCCTGTCAAACAGAAAATCAGATAAGTGGCAAATGGTATTAGTGGACTGTCTAAGATTGTCCAATAAACATCAGTTTTTTCACATATTATTTTTGTCCAATGTACAGTGGCTCGCATTCAAAAACCGAAATTTTTATTTTATAACTCTAGTGATTGTAAAGACAATCAAAAGCGTGATCAAACAGCCTTATCTATAGTCATATCGTCAATAAAAATATGTATACAATAAAAAATCGGATCTGAAACTGATCTGTGTTTTTTGGCCGTAACTGACATTTGAAGAAAAAATGAAATCATTCTCATTAACAAGACATATATGTATTAAGAAAAAAGGAAATGAAACATTAAGACACACTGATGATAATTTCAGACTAAAATGTTGTTTTTTTTGTTTAATTGAAGAGATGATTTTTCGTTTAGCTAGTACTATGGATGAAACACACCGGTTTGTTGTTGAATAAACGAAGCGGTCTACAAGAATATTTGCCTAATAAGGTTAGTAATGCAAGTGAAAGAGATTTTATCTTGTTGTTGTTGAACTATTAATTGTGCTAAATTGAGATGTGTTACCATCATTGATTATCATCATTGTATTTATTGGACTAGAAGATAATGGAACGCCATTTGAACGTTGAATTTGTTGTTGTTGTGAATAATTATTGTCTGATGAAGAAGCAGATAATTTACTAAAGGCTAGTAGAGTTTCAGGAAAATTTGGTGGAGTTGCTGGTGTATTAGCAGGTTGAGATGTCAACTGAAATGAAAAAGGAGATATATCAATTCAATTTTTTTTTCATAGTTGGTATGCAATTGGAAATATGTGAATATTTCTTTAGTTTTTTTACTTACATCTGGACAAAATAATTTACATGGTATTGGTACAGTTCGATCTTGGAAGAACAAAGAAAGTGCAGCCTAAAAAAGGCACAAATCACTTAATTAATAAATACGACATTGAATAGTCTTTTTGTCATTGAGTAAACTACAGAATAAATCATTTTTACAGATAGATTCCCGAAAGTAAAAAAAGAGCTACATTCTTGAAAAATATGGTGTGCTTTGTTAAGTAATGAATAGAATAATTTTGATAATTGTCTTTTTCGATTAATAGTTCTACTATTTTATTATTAAAAAATTGAACGGATGGTGTTCGAACGAGAATTTTTTCTCTTACTTCCAGTCTCCAGTCCGTTGCTTGTAATAAATGTTTTGCTATATCATGTTCAGATCCTGTTGCAGCTGCTACTTGATTAATGAGAACATGCTGACGTAGAGTTATAGTATCTATGTTTTCTCCATGTTGGCTTGTTGAATCCATCATTCATAAAAAAGAGATTGAATCAATCTGAAAAAAGAGTAGATAGAACAGTGCGAAATCTAATCAAACATATCGTATGACCCGTGATAATATGATACTAAATGAGAAGGGTCACATTTGATTATTTCATTAACAAAAGATTATTTCTCAGTTGATGTAATTAAAAGCAGTTTTTTGAGTTTATCTTTGAATTTAATTTATAATCATCAACCTATCATTATTTATCATCCTTGACTTTTCAAATGTAACTAGTATGTTCAATACACAGCATTTGCTGCGTGCTTTTCCATTAACGAAATCGATATAATTTTGGCAAGTGGAGGGGGGAGGGGCAGGAAAAGTTTTACTGAGCAACTCTAAAAAATTTCTGAATACCTTTTTCCTCATTTTTCATCCTTTTTACTCATAAAAATTTAGTTGATTACCAAAAACAAAGCCTTCAACTTTTCGGAGTGAGCAAATTTTTTTTCTCAAGTGAGTAATTCATTTCAAACAAGCAGGGGATTTACTTCTCCTTCTTCTCCCTCTAATCAAAATTACTGAACGAAATGAACAATTTTTATCGTCATGATCTTGTTAAATAGCAGAATATCAGAAACATAATTTTCTTAGTGAAAATCGCTTAGAAAAAAACGAGATTTGACCATGTTGACTAATTTACTCAATTAGAAAATGAATTTTTACATGACTATAAGTGAGACATAATTTTGATAGACAAACATGTGAAAAGAAAATTTATATGCCTCATTTATCTAATTTTCTTAAAAATAAACTAAAAAAATTTATGTTTAACCCTCATCAGAAACCACGTGAGCATCGTCCAAATGGAAATATGAGAGTTAAATAAACGCAGCAGAGCCTGATTCTACATAGTACTAATAGAGGCAAAAGTAAAAATAATGAATTCAGCTTGTTACCTATAAGATTGATAGAATCGAAATTCTATAAAATTAAATTAAAATTTTTCATGAAGTGGACGCATTTTTTTTTTTAGTAATTGAAAATCAAAGGTGCATCTCTCTACTCAGATATATTTGAACTGAGCAAAACAATTATTTTCACCTGTTACGTGATTTAAATATTTTGTATTAGAGTTCATATCTCAATGCTCAACACTCGTCTATTTACTCTCAAACTTGTGAAATGTCACATAACTGAAACAAAGACATCGAAAGAGAGAAAGAAAACATTGGAAGGGGAAAAAGAGAGAGAAGAAAATGACACGGAAACAAGTGTTTATTGTATGATGATGATGACATTCATTTCTTTTTTTTTTTTTGTTTCGTTATATTAGTAGAAAAGAAAAACTTAATACTCTCCATCTGTCTATGTATATATATATATATATGAGCCATAAAAAAAAAAGAAAAAACGTTTACAGGAATGTCTACTAAAGTTCAAATAGAATTCTTTATTATTCTCTTTTGTCTATTTACTGTTACCCCCTTTCCTCAATCTCTCTATCAAAGCTTCCGTCACACATGTGATAAAAATAAAAAATAAACTTTTTTCTTCTCTTGTTTTTTTATTCACATAGATATAGAAAAAGTACTATTAATTTTTAATCCGTGGATGTATTCTATTAAAATAGTTCAAATTCATCTAACTATCTAAATAGAGTTCAATTGTGATATTATAGGTTAAACGAGTCAAGGAATGAGATTTATTATAGAACGTTCTTTTAAATTTTTGCAAATACAAGAAAAAAAGGTAATTATTGTCTGAAAATCTAATATCTAAATTACAAACTCAACAAGACGTTTGTTTAATAGAAAAAATAATCACTTGAAAAAATTAGTCTAAAACGAATTACACAGATAACATAACAGTTGTACACACAAAAAGAAATTTACGCTCAATGGTAAGCCTTTTAATAACTAAAACCTCATTCCTTTTTTTTTTTTACACAGTACAAAATACGGATAAAACATTATTTTTTTCTCACAAGCTGGATAAACGGGAAACATATATACTATAAGTAGAAAAACATTCAAACTATAGATCAAAAAATTGAGAATTTACATAAAGAGGGCAATCAAGAGTGAACGTTGTTGAAGAATATCAAGTAGATAATAGAAAACTCCATTGTTTATTCTTATGACGTTAGAAAAACAATAAAAACAGAAAAAAAGAGAAAAGAAAATTGTTTCCATTTAGCAAACTAAAGCACACAATCGAAGATAGAAGAAAAACCTCCTTTCATTTCCACACGCTCAATCGTCTATAGAAATAATTATTGTGCAAAAAATACAAAATTCTAATAGTTAATATTGTATTAATTTATAATCAAGAAATACTTGATAAAAACACAAAGAAAAATATAAAAGATTATAATTTCTTTTTTGGAAACTATAGAGGAGAAAAATGTGCTATGAACTTCTAAAATGAGATGTTTCTTAGTCATGAAATTAGTTTTGATGAAACGATAAGATACATATTGATAAACTATGAATCATCAACAGAGTATTCAGTTACGGGGAAGAAAACAGATTCTCCTTTGCTAAAAAGTGACTCACTTCCAAAAGTTGGTGAATAAAAAAGGCCTTCTGTTCAAAAATTTTTAGTTACTCACTCAAACTTTATCCTCCTCTCCAATTTTGCATCGAAAACGCTGATCATCAAGTCAAACGGTATTTCTACAAATTGAGCATATCTACACTCTTACTCTCATACACACACCTACAGTAGAGGATGTGCTCAATTTTGCAAAAGTGACAGTCAATTTTGTCCTTCTATCTCGTAATAATAAGCACTTATTTGTTCAAATTGCTTTTGCATACTCATCTATATGATCTCGCATCTCATTCTCATCAACACTCATGTCAGATCAATATCATATTCGATTCAATACTGAAAGACAAATTTTCGACTACCATCAAGTGAAATACATAGATTCAGATGGGGTAATTCGGGCCACTTGCACAAAGTTTCTTAGTATTTTGCGTATTTCTAAGGCGTTTTTAATCGGATAAGCGTACTACTGAATATGAAGATGAAACTAACAGTTCTCTATCCGCTGATGTAAAAATTTCCTAAAAATCCCTCTCCGTTTTCGACCAGTGTTCAAAAGGAGACAGGGACCTCGAAACCGGCCGGAATTATCCCATGTGGGTTAATTCCGGCCGGTCCATTCAAATACGTACCTTAATCACATTCGCACGCCAGTACCCATTACACAAATACAGCTATCAAATCAGTTTTGGAATGAGTTCCGGTAAGTATTTTTATATGTGTTTCATAAACATCTAATTCTACTTTCAGTGTTATCTTCCTTAATTTTAATCGAATTTCACGTCTGATTTTTTTATTCAACTCATAAGAGTACAGCCCATGATATATATAGAAATTTTTTCATGACTTTCTCATAATTAATGAGAATATCTAATAATGCTGTGTAAATTCATTACCACAATATGTGTAAAATTACATCAAAATATTTAAGATCATAGAGCCTGCTGTTTTTCAGCTCTTGAGATGCAATTTTCACATATGTTGTAGATAATGACATGACGAATACCTTTTACCTGAAGAGTATGTCAGAAATCTACTTCTGAAAAGTACCAGAGGTTTGTTTCAGGAAACTCCGTGTATTTGAATGGACCGGCCGGAATTACCCCAA